GTGGGGGGGGGGGGCGGGGGGGGGGGGGGGGGTGGCCCGGTGCCGCCGTGACTCAGCCGTGACTAAGCAGCTCCCGGTGGCCCCCGCACCCCACGGGACCCCCGCCGTGTGCTCCCTCCCCGCGTGGATGCCGGCGGTAAGGCAGGCCCGGTGAGCCCCGCACGCACCCCACCGGAGGGCCGGAGTGTCGCCCTCAGCCCACCCCACGACGGTGCCGCCGATGTCGCCCGGCCGGTGATAACGTCCCGTGGGTCTGCCCAGATGTGCCCTCCCGCCGCAGCTGGGCGGTGGTTGGAGCCCCCCAGGCTCGGTACCAGCCGGTGCCAGTCTTTCCCGGTCTTTGTCCTCACCGGTTTGGGGCACATGACCGTTAATCTGCGGAGGCGGCTGCCAACGCCCAGTGCCCGCTGCTTGGGCACACCCAGTACCCTTGAACCCTCTCAGCTCCGGCCACTCCGGCATCCAGGGCACGCTCAGCAGCTCCCGAGTTCCCATCAGCTCCGGATCCCACTTGGGCCCCACAGCTCTGCACCTTCTGGCTCAAACACCCGCAGCCCGATGGCACAGCCTGTGCCTGCTCTGGGGCTCTCCCCACGCTGCCTGAGGGAGGAGGTTCTGAGGTTCGATTCCTCACTCGTTCCCACCAAAAAGCATCCGGGGGATCCTCCTCTCCTCACCCCAGCCGGGCGCTGCCTTGTCCTCGCCCAGATCCTGCCCGGAAGGTCGCTGCCAAGGACACCCGCAGTCCCGGGGACACGGGTGGCCCTTGGGACACCCCCACCCACGCAAAACATGCCGGGAGCAGGAGGGAGCTGGCTGTCTGCTGGGGTATGGCTGGAGCAGCTTTGGCTGGAGGCAGAGCTGCTGGGAGCAGGCGTGCTGCGGATTTGGGAAGCTGGCGTACGGGTCTGATCCCCTCAGTGGTGCCACGGGGCTCAGCCTTAGTTGGAGCTGGAGCTTAACTGGGACATGCCTGGAATTCCAGCCTGTGGACAAGGCGAGGGCTCTGTACACCCTGGGGGGCTCCTGGATTGTGGGGCTCAGATCCCTGAGCTGGAGGCTCCGGAAGGAAGGGCTGTGCCGTGTTGGGCTGTCCCACGCCACCATGACACCTCCTGCTCTCTGTGTCCCCAGATAAAATCTGTGACCAGATCAGTGATGCTGTCCTGGATGCCCACCTCAAGCAGGACCCCGATGCCAAGGTGGCTTGTGGTGAGTAAGGGCACCAGGGGACAGCCAATGCATGACGTGGAGGTGACACAGTGCTGACGTCACCCTTGTCCCCGCAGAGACGGTCGCCAAAACCGGGATGATCCTGCTGGCGGGGGAGATCACCTCCCGGGCCAACGTGGACTACCAGAAGGTGGTCCGGGACACCATCCGGCACATCGGCTACGACGACTCCTCCAAAGGTGTGTCCCGGGCTGCCACCGCCTCAGGGACTGCACGGGGTGGCACCGGCCTCACCAGAGCCCCCTTTGTCCCCCCCAGGTTTTGACTACAAGACGTGCAACGTGCTGGTGGCCCTGGAGCAGCAGTCCCCGGACATCGCCCAGGGTGTGCACCTGGACCGCAGCGAGGAGGACATCGGTGCCGGCGACCAGGTGAGCCCCAGGGCCATGGGGTCGCTGTGGGGTCGCTGTGGCGTGACCCAGGGCTGGGTGTGACCCCCCCCTTGTCCCTGTGCCACAGGGGCTGATGTTTGGCTACGCCACGGACGAGACGGAGGAGTGCATGCCCCTCACCATCGTGCTGGCGCACAAGCTCAACGCCAAGCTGGCCGAGCTGCGCCGCAGCGGGGCCCTGCCCTGGCTGCGCCCCGACTCCAAGACACAGGTGAGGTGCACAGAGCTGGGTCCACAGAGCCCTGGGGAGCCCCGTGTTCCCCGCCTGGCCTCTGACTGGTGTCCCCCGGCAGGTGACAGTGCAGTACATGCAGGACCGCGGGGCGGTGATCCCCATCCGGGTGCACACCATCGTGATCTCGGTGCAGCACGACGAGGACGTGTGCCTGGACGAGATGCGTGACGCTCTCAAGGAGAAGGTCATCAAGGCCGTGGTGCCCCCCAAGTACCTGGACGATGACACCATCTACCACCTGCAGCCCAGCGGCCGCTTCGTCATCGGCGGGCCCCAGGTGCAGCCCGGGGCGCTGTGGTGGTGGCAGCAGTGATACTGTGGTGGTGGTGGTGACAGCTGTGGTGGCACGGTGGTGGTGCGGTGCTGAGGGCTGGTGACAACATGGTGACAGTGCTGTGGTGGCGACGGTAACACGACAGCAGTCACAGCACGGTGATGGCTCAGTGATGATGCTGGTGGCATCGGCGCTGGTGACACGGACAGGGTTGTGACGCTGCTGTCCCCAACAGGGTGACGCGGGGCTGACCGGCCGCAAGATCATCGTGGACACGTACGGCGGCTGGGGCGCGCACGGCGGCGGCGCCTTCTCGGGCAAGGACTACACCAAGGTGGATCGCTCGGCCGCCTACGCCGCGCGCTGGGTGGCCAAGTCCCTGGTGAAGGCCGGGCTGTGCCGCAGGGTGCTGGTCCAGGTGGGTGCTGCTCTGGCTCCAGGTGGGCACCGGGTCCCCAATCCAGGCTTTTGGGGGTCCGGCCTCACCCGCAGCCGCGCGTTTCCCCCCCCGCAGGTCTCGTACGCCATCGGGGTCTCGCACCCCTTGTCCATCTCCATCTTCCACTACGGCACCTCGCAGAAGAGCGAGCGCGAGCTGCTGGAGATCGTCAAGAAGAACTTCGACCTGCGCCCCGGGGTCATCGTCAGGTAACGGGCGTGGGGGGCTGTGCCGGGGGGCGGGGCGGGCGGGGGTCCCTCCCGGAGCAGCCCGGGGACCGCCTGGCGCCTGGACCCAGCGCGGAGCCGCTCGGCCGGACGGAGAAGGCGCGCTCGGGGCGCGGACGGGGTAAGTATCCGCCGGAGCCGAGCGCTTGGAGCTTCCCCGGCTCCCGCGGGAGCGGCCCGGCGCTCCGGGGGGCGCGGCCGGGGAAGCTCCAACCGCCCCGCGGGGCGGGGAGGGGGCGGAGGCGGCGCTGCGGAACCCCCGGCCAGGCAGGGAAGGAAGGGGCGAAGGCAGGAGCCCGGGGCAGCCTCACTGAGTCGGGAATTGTGTATTCCAGGGATCTGGATCTGAAGAAGCCCCTCTATCAGAGGACCGCAGCCTATGGCCACTTTGGTAGGGACAGTTTCCCTTGGGAAGTGCCCAAAAAGCTAAAATACTGAGGAAAAAAGAGCATTGTTAGGGCTTTTCCCCCCACTCCCGCGGGCGTAGGTTACAGAGAAGCCCGTGGGCTCTGGGGGAAAGAGCTCCCGGCCCCCCCCAGGCTCCCCGGCCCCGCCATTGTCTCTCACCATCGTTTTGGTTGTGTGGGGACCACGTGCCTCTCCTGGAGCCCCCACTCGTGTTCCCCCCAGTTCCCTCTGGATGGTTTTTAACAAATATCTCTTCACTCCGAGCTGTGAGATGGGGAAAAAGGCCCAAGTGCCCTCTCTCACCCTCCCCCGTGCCCCCACAGTCCCACTGTGGCAAGGGCCACCCCGTTTTGGGTCCCAGCAGTCCTGCTGTGGAGGGATCCCCCATTTTATCACTCCCCATTCCCCTTTTTTCCCCAAATTCCACTACATCAGGGGGACCCCCTGTTTTGGCTCCCGCAGTCCCCCCCATCCTGCTGCAGGGGGGGACACACAAACCCCTCGTTCTGGCTCCCTGTGTGTCCCCCCCACAGTCCCCATTCCACTGGGAGGAAACTCATTTTGGCTCCCCCAGTCCCGCTGGTGGGGAAGACACTTCCCATTCCACCTCCCCACCCCCCTGGGACCTCGCTGGTGCTGGGTTTGGTTCTTAACCCTCATTTTTAACCTCTTTTATGTTCCAAAAATGCACATTTCGGGGGGGGACACGCTAAAACCGATCCCCAAACCCCCCCCTGAGGGTTCGGTACCAGAGGAAAACATTTTTCATCCTTTTTTTTTTTTTTTGGTTTTTTTTTTTTGGGTTTTTAATCCAAAAGCTGAAGCAACTCCCCAACTGCACAACCCCTCCACCCCCCCCAACTTTGTCCGGATTTTGGGGGGAAAGGGGGGGCATTTGGCGCTTGATACTTGAAGGTTTGGTGTATTTATTGTGCGCCGAGGCGGGGGCGTGAGTACAGAGAAGTCCCCGCGCTCAGCCGGCAGCTCCTGATCCCTGAAAGCCCCCACTTCCCCTCCCCCCGCCCCCC